CAAACTAAGTTTAAGGTTCTGGTGAAATCCGTTTCGCGCGTCAAACTGAGTTTCAGACGTTAAACTGGTTTAAGATCGCTTGATGAAAATGGGCCTAAGTGCTACAGAGTGGCCCGTATGAAAACGCGCTTAGTGTGACGTGAAGCATCCGGCGTTGTTGTGGTAAGTCAGGTTTTTTTAATCAAAACATTGTACTTTTCACATAGGTATTTTTTGATTTTTCGGTTTTGTGTGTCTCCAACGTGTTTGATCTACGTGTAAAGACCATTTATTGGTATGGTATATGCTTTGTATCATACAGTTTTTGGTTGTTGAAAATAAATTCATGCACATTGTGATTGAATTTTCAGTATTCTTATTGAAAATCTAAAATTCAATAACATGTAACTGAAAATTCAATAACATGGAACTGAAAAGTTTTCAGATCTTAACCTATTTGCAGGGACTGATTGAATATCTGTCAGTTCGTACTACAATGGACGAATTAACAGATTTCCAACCAATAGAACACTTTTGTATCATCGTACCATCGTATAAACGGATGCATGGCTTGATCTATTCTGTCGACAGTGACGTGACAACTGCCAGAAAGGCTTATCACAGTTTCACCAAAAAATATCGTAGGCTACATTGGCGTGGTGGAAAACGTATCTCCATACCAATCTGGGACCCCAGGTTCGAATCCTGGCCAAGGCGCGAAAATTTTTCCGCAGCCGATACTTTGGTCACTTCGTGGAAAACATTGGAAGCAGACCAGAACAACAGCAGAAGTCTACCATAGAAAAACATCTCGACAGGTCCCCCCGTATAATTTGGATGGTGCGTTACCCACATTTTTTTGGGTCAGTCTACAGCGATTGTGATAATATTATTGTACCTGGGTTTGACTGTAATACCACTGTGGATTTTAATAATTGTATAGTTACTGAACGTGAAGTATTTAATGAACTGTATAAACGAAAAAGTTTATTAGTGCAGGGGCAGATGGTATACCTTCAACTATTTTAAACCAATGTAGATGTTCCCTGAGTGCACCGTTGACTTTCTTGTTTAATCTGTCTTTAAGAACATGTATTTATCCCGACCTGTGGAAACATGACCTGATTGTACCTTTGTTCATGAATGGTGATAAAACCAATATAAAAAATTATAGACCTATAGCTAAGATTTCATTGATACCAAAACTGTTTGATAAAATTATGACTTCAAAATTTACACCTATCTTTTAACATTTAATTATCGATGAACAGCATGGTTTTTGTTGAGGAAAATCAACTGTGACCAATTTGGCTGTGTATTCTGAGGACTTGTTTAATGTCATGGGGAGTCCTGAGCAGATTGATGCAGTTTATACTGACTTCTCGAGGGCGTTCGACAGAGTACCTCACAAAATTTTGATATTCAAGATGAAAGCTTTGAGACTTGGCCACAATTTATGTCAATGGTTAGAAAGTTACCTTCTTAATAGAACTCAGACAGTCATCTTGAATAATCAACACAAATCTAAAAAAAAATCTATTACCTCTGGTGCACCACAGGGTGGACATCTGTCCCCTTTGCTATTCAATTGCTATGTCAATGATATTATGTGTTAATGTAAAATATTGTAAGTTTTTATTATTCGCTGATGATTTAAAGCTTTATTCAAGAATAACCTGTACTGATAATTGTTTAAATGTGCAAGCGGATTTAAATGCTCTGAATAACTGGTGTGAAGTTAATTTTATGCAATTGAACATCTCTAAGGCCCGTATTTATAAACGTTGCTCAAGCATGAGTCGAACCTCAAGTACGATACTTGGCTTCGATTGTGATTTATAAACGATTCTCATTCTCAAGCCAGTGCTTACAGCCTTGCTTGCTCAAGTATCGGTCGACGGTGGCTTGAGTATTGCTTCTGCTCAGCCATTGGTCGAGATTTTTCGTTCAACCGTCAAACGGTTTTTAAGGTTATATTACTGTTCATGTTATGTTTTTACATTTTCATTTTTTGAGTTTACTCTCGTATACAATATGAAAATGGACAAGCTTTTGAATATTTGGACGTAATAGAGGAGGAAATAAACGAAGACCAACATGTTAGTAAAATATGTATACAAGATGGCAAAAATCCTTCTGTTTTTCTCGCTTGTAGAATTTCGGAAAAGGTTTCGGTTTTCAAAGGCCAGTATTATTGAGGTGTTATTACCTTTTTTAAACGAACCATTATTGAAAGCGGATAATCGTGGACTACCAATATCATATATCACCCATTACTTAATTGCTGGTATGTCCAAGATTCTATACAAGTAGATTTCTATTCTAGAGATTCTATACAACAAGTAGCTGTTTGCAACATGTTTCTATGATTACATGTCTACTTTCTTACATAAAGTGTATATTATATTGTAGCTTGTGTCCGGTAATCTTCGTGATCTTCGCCAGTCCTTCAGCGATTCAAAAGATATATTTACAATGGAATTTTTTGCAAGATGGACTCAACCAATGCTCTATAGATTAACACAAGCAGCCTCCTGCTCAAGAATTTCCTCATCTCAAAACTTGTAAACAAGAACTCTTGTTCTAATAGTCAAGCCGTTTGCAGATATTTTTTTCTTAACCGTCCGCACCAGTCCTGGCTGATTGCGCTTGCGCGTTTCTCTGCCGCGTTGCCGGATTTATATTTCCATTGCGAACGAAATTTTAACCTCGGAAAAACACGGATTCTTGTGGATTCTAGCACGTTTTTAGTTCAGTGGCTGTTGCTGAAATTCATGCTAATTTCATCGTTAGTAATTTAAACAATTAGTTCCCGCAGTAAATATTTGAATTCTTGGAGTTTTAATAGTCATGGATCTTGTTTGTTTTTTATTGTTTTCTGCTTTCTAAAATAATGAACAGATATATTTAAATGTTGTCTATGATCTTCACTTTAATTATATACAAACATTTTTTCTCCTATAAGATTGCATCTTAAACACAAACAAACAATAACCAGAAACAATTAATTTAAAAAAGTAAACAACTATGGCGCTCGTTGAAGCACCATGCGTTTCGTCCCGGGCATACCCATTGGACTCAGGGGTCAGTAAGGCTTAGGTAGGCCCATGGTAGACCCTAGCTTAGACGTCCGATACGGTATTTAGTCTTAGAAGTTGTATTTGAACCGAAACGGCGCAGATGTTATGTGGTGAGATATAGCTGGCATTTCGGCTGGACCTGCTACTTGAGAATTGGCGCATAGAGTTCGCCACACGACTTTCTCTGGGGTTAGGCGTCGCTATTCGAGCAAGGCCAGGCGGTTAAAAACCAAATATGTGCATAGCGGCAACATGACAGCGGGACGCGCAAGCGCAATCAGCCAGGACTGGTGCGGACGGTTAAGAAAAAAATGTCTGCAAGCCGTTTGCATGATTGGACCATTTTAAATTTTCGTCCACTATAACCCCTTAGTATTTAATGCTACTAACTTCAGTAATCTTGAGTCCCGTTCTCGGTCCCGCAAAGAGTGAAAATCTGGTCTGTTGACATTGGTAAGAGAAAATGCGATGTATTTTGTTTTATCTGTATTAAGTGTTAGCTCGTTGTAGTCCAGCCAGTTCTTCACTATGCCAACACCAAGCTCTGCTTTAG